CAAAATTCCCTTGAAACAACAGCATCTTGCGATACCCGGCCCAAATACCCATTCGCGTATTCATGGGGACTGGTCGGGTAATTCAAAACGCATCGCAGCGACTTAGAGGGTAATACCCGACATAGGGCTAAAATACTCGATCGGGTATTTATGCCCCTCGACCGGGCCCCATTCTGTTTCTTCTGGCTCTTTCAGTCGAATACCCGCTCGCCCAAGTGATTATACCCATTTGGGTATTTGAGTGTTATGACCGGGTATTTTGGCCTCCAGCTCCTCTAGGCGCCAATTCTCCATTTTTTTTTACCAGAAACTCGCTTCCACGCCTCCATGTCCACACCAAGTCCTGAAATATGACATAAACACACAACCTAGCGTGAAATAGGCTTAGAACATGAAAATCGACTCTCGAACGGATCAATACTGGTGGCCAAAACATGTGCAAATAACGGTCTATCACCAGGCGGTCGAAGATGGCGAGCATACACCTTTGGAATGTGGCGGGGGCGTTGCAAACCCCGATTTATTTGAAAACACCCAGACATCCCATCCAGGAAATAATAGAACTCGTGCCCCGCCAACTTATCGAGCATTTGATCAATGAATGGCAGAGGGAAGTGATTCTTGCGGGTGGCTTCATTGAGGCGGCGATAGTCGATATAGACGGGGTACCCTATCACCGTGCGCATCGGGTGAGCTCATTCTTCTCGTTGGGGACCACTGTCATCCCACCCTTATTAGGCACCAACTGAGTGGGACTGACCCACTCGCTATAAAAAATGGCGAAGATGATTCCCGCGTCCATCAGCTTGATAATCTCCGCTCGAACCACAACCTCTAGGTTTGGTGTCAATCTCCGTTAGGGCTGTCTCACTGGCTGAATCTCATCCTCCAACAATATCCGGTGGGAGCAGAAGGAAGGGTTGATCCCCCGGATATCGGTGATCTTCCATGCCATAGCTCTCTCATACTGCTTCAGCAGGGCCACCTGTCTGGTCTTGTGCTCGGGTGTGAGGATCAAACTGATGATAACGGGAAGCTTGTTCCCATCCCGGAGAAATGCATACTCCAAGTAAAAAGGGAGGAGCTTCAGCTCCAGTTTCGGTGGCTCCTCTAAAGAGGTGGTGATACGAGTCGATGATGAGATTTGCTTGAACGGCTTCTCGACCTCCAGGAATACGCCACTCTAGAGCGAGACCAACTGCTCCTTCAGCTGCAGCTCCTGCGATGCCTGCTCACCTAGCAAAATACAACGCTCAAGGACATCGTCAGTACCCACACTCGTTATGGCGAGTGCGGTCTCAAAATCTGCAATAATGTCACAGTAATCCAAGTCATCATGCATATGGGAATGTTTCGCATTGTCAAACACATAAAATTTAGCTTGTTCATCCCCAACTTGCAAAATTAACTTGCCACTATGCACATCAATCAACGCCTTGACGGTGGCAAGAAATGGTCTACCCAAAATCAAAGGCACATCCACATCCTCATTTATACCCAAGATAACAAAATCAACAAGATATGTGAATACACCCACATTAACAAGCAAGTCCTCTATGATACCCCTAGGATGCACAATCGACCGATCAACTAACTGAATACTCATTCTAATAGTTCTAGGCTAACTCTAGCGCAACCACTAATAAAATGGGCACCATAAATCAAAACTCCAACCACCATATCCACTCGTCCTGAATATCACTATAAAAATCTCAATTAAGGCCCAAGTATAAACCTTAACCGGGTACAATATAGGGCAAGTATATTTAAATATCAATCTGCGTCGGACCATGTACCTCTTCTTCGATTGTTTAGAACATTATCTAGCAATTGGTTTTGGTGAAAACAATGATCTATAACTAAAAAATTTGGAAAATTAAATGGATAGGACACTAATTGAGAAGGCTTCGCCCGAGTGTTGTGCCCCCTAGCTAACAATAATGACTTGTCGGATTGAATTCCTATGTGTGACAAAAGCGGTTGTAAACTGTTGGGAAGTGCAACTAGTGACCAAACACCGCTCTGTCGGTCAATAGGCCAAGGGAATCCGATTCAAGCTACCAAAGTAGCTCTCTTGACCTATCAACCAAGGGTTGCCTAGACTTCACACTCGAATCGAAGTTCGGACGGCCAAATTACAACCAACCCTATGTGCTAATACTAATTAAGAGGTTTGCCCTAATTTAACCTAAGTACGAGACAAAGATTGCCCAAGGAAATCCAGCTTTTACAAGCCTCTAATCAAAGGGGATTCCCCTCTACCTAGGTTAAAATGGCATAAGCCATTGAAATGCACAAACATAACCAAACTTCATGAAAATACCTCATAACTTTGTATTAAAACACACCCACACACTAATCATTCAATCCATACAAACATTCACATCATTGTATCTAGGGTTTACACACACCCAAGTGAAAAGAGAAATTACTCCATGCTAGGCAAGGAGAAAACACAAGGGAGAAGAAGGAAAACCATCTTGGAGATTCTAGCCTTGCTCCTTGTGGTGTACAGATCCTCCTTTGGGGAAGAAATTCCTAAAACCTTGCTTGGAGTTGAAACCCGAACCTCTTCTCTTCTTTGGTTTGTCAATTTCTCTCTCTAGAAAGCTAAAGAAGAAGAAGTTTCTCACACTAGGTCTCTCCCCCTTTCCTTCAGCTCAACCCTCCTTTTATACCTAGGTCGCGGTCAGTTCACGATCCCAATTCACGATCGTGAACATCCTTCATGCACCGCGATGTTGAGCAAATCCGCACTGTTTCACTTAGTGCATTCACGGTCTGGGGCTTGAGTTCATGGTCTTGCATAGGGGTGTGCAACGGTTCGGTCCGGTCTCTTCAGAACCTCGGTCCATTAGTGAAAGACATCTTTAGACCAAGGACCGGACCATCATTGCGTTTGGTCCATTTGGTCTAGTTCAGTCAGTTCCAAATATCAGCTTGGTCCATCATTTCTTCAGTAATTGTAAAATTCATGTGGACCAAGGATCGGACGGCATTATACTCGGTCCGGTGCAGCCCGGTCTAATTGCACACCCACGGTTCCATAATGTGAATTAACTGGGATCCAGTGAGGTGTGCATTTTGCTTTTGGACTCTTTGGCGCTTCACGGTCTGGGGCTTTAGTTCACAGTCTTGCGACCATAAACTTGCTGGACTCTAGTGAGGTGTGCATCTGTCTTCTGGAACTTCAGTGCTTCACGGTCTAGGCGCCCGTTTCATGGTCCATAAGAACGTGAAAACACATCTTCTGCCTTGATCATCAGCTGGTTCCATCCTTTCTCATTTTCGCTCCTTTTTGTCTCACTTTAGATTCTGGGGTCAGTTTCACCTGCTAGGATCTTAAACATACCAAAACAAAGTGCAACCTAGCATAAAACCATACCTCACGGGATACAAATGCATAAAACGTCTAAGGAAAATGGAGATAAAATGTGTACAATTGCATTCATCCTTTCTTTCTACGCTTTCTTCTTCCTTCCTTCGTGTTTGATACCCTCCTCCAATTTCCTGCTTCACATCACCACAAGGAACACAAGTACTTGAGGGGCTCGCCTCCACTTTCAATCATACCATTCGAGTCCATTTCCTTCACATCATCATTCTTAGCCTTAGGATCAATTAAGATAGTAAGTTGCTCCTCTCCATCTCTCAAAATCAGAGTTCCCTTGTTAATATCGATTAAGGCCTTGGCGGTGGCAAGGAACTGGCATCCCAGAATGAGTTGCATATCCGCATCTTCACTAGTGTCAAGGATGACAAAATTTGTCGGATAGTAGAATTTGCCAACTCTCACTAGGAAGTCCTCCACAATACCTCTAGGAAAAATGACAGATCGACCGACCAATGTGGCACTAAGCCTAGTAGTCCTTAGCTCACCTAGATTCAACTTCCTAAAAAGCTTATAAGGAATCACATTAATGCTTTCTCCTATGTCCGCCATGGAGTTTTCTATATGATGTGTTTTGATGCATAGAGGTATAGTGTCACTACATGGATCTTGTTTCTTATTGGGAAACTTGTTGAGAATGAAGGCGGAGCACTCCTCGCCCAAGGTGACATTGGCGAGGTCTTCATATCTTGGCTTCTTTGAGAGAAACCCCTTGAGGTACTTGGAATACCTTGGCATTTGCGCCATTGCTTCCAAGAACGGAATGGTGATGCAGAGCTTCTTGAGTATCTCCATGAACCCGCCACATTCCGCCTCCAATCGGTCCTTGTGCATCCTTGTGGGGAAAGGAAGATGAGGCTTGTACTCAGCCACTTGTGGTGGCATCGGCAATTCCTTCTTGGTCTCTTCTTCCTCCCTTTCTGAGCCTTCTTGATCATTGGCCGTTGGAGGAGTCTCCTCTTCTTCGGTCACTTCCTTAGCAACAACTTCCGGGGTCACCGTTCCACTCCTTAAAAGAATAGCATTGCAACCGACATTTTGAGCTTTAGGGTTGGCAATAGTTTTAGAGGGTAGGGCTCCCCTTGGTCTCTCGGTGAGGATCCCGACAAGATTTCCGATTTGAGTCTCCAAGTTTTGAAGACTTGCTTGGTGGCTTCTCAATCCCGCCTCAACCGAAGAAAACTTTGTTATTGCCACACCCATAAATTGCTCAATTTTCTCAAACTTTTGAGTACTCGTTCTCACAAAGGTGGTCACTAGCTAGGTCTTCAAGCTTTGCAAACTTATCAGATTGTTGTTCGAACCCTTGACCTCCTTGAGTTTGGAATGGTTGTTGGAAGTTCGAGCCTTGGAATTGCGGCCTTTGCTTAATGAATAGAGGTCTTGGTTGATAATTTTACACGCTACGACACAACTCCTAACAATGGCCAAGTTTAACCAATGAAAGAGACTGCAGTATAGTGGCACAAGTAATAAATATCGAATCCACGGGTCTCTAGAGTTACTATTACTCAGCTTCAGTTCATTATCTAGCAAACTAGATTAAGAATTGATTTATAAACTACTCTACTGACTACTCTACTAATTACAAGTTGGGAACTCAGTTAGGTGTGATTCCCCCTAGCTCCTCAATTAGGTCCAAGTTGTAATTACCTTTGGTTGATCTACTGTTGATTAAACTGCGGAAGATCCTAAATTAGCTTGGAATCTCTTAAGCTGACCAAGTCCTCTCAGACAGAATACCCGGGAGGCGACTAGCCTTCACCGGGATAGACTGCTAAGGCGATTCACACATATCTCCACTACTGGAATGAATTCCAGTACAAAGTAGTGAATTGATTGACTCTCGCACAACCAATTCACCACTATCAATCAAGGAAGCTCTCTTAACCTAATCAGATTCTATCTATCATAGGTTAAAGTAGAAATCAAGATAATTTGATCAAGATTCAACTGACTCAATAAATCATGCCTCAATCGATTATAATCAAACAATATAACATCCAAAACTTCATACAAGAAAGATCCTAACACATGGAACTAGGGTTCCTCAAAACCTAACTGAAGGGAAGTTACTCCATAGAGAAGAGAGAGACTGCAGAAATCTGATCTAGATCTTCAATCTTCATCTCCAAGCTTGATTCCCGAGCTCCAATGGTGAAGAAATCCTCCAAAATAGCTCCAAGAATGTTCCCAAGTCGCTCTCTCTCTCTAGGGTTCGTCCCTTGGGTGTTTGGGAACCAAAAACCCAGCTCTCCCCTTTTCTTTGGCTGAAAATCGAGTTTTAAACATAAATTCCAGATCACGCGGCCAGGCCACACGGCCGTGTGGCTTTCCCAGCTGCCCGTGTGAAGGCTCGGTGATTTCCACACGGCCACGAACCACACGGCCGTGTGGAATTCCAGGATGCCCGTGTGGCTTGCTCGGCCTCTGTTTAATGCTTCGTTTCTCCCTTGACCGGACTCCGAATCAGTCCCCGTTTGATCCCAGACGCTCGTAGTCTTGTCCTTTTTCTTTTCATGACAAAATTCCATGATTATTTGTCCATAATATGAGGTAGAAGTCCATTATTCCTCAGGTCATGCTCGTGTTTCTTCTCCCGAATTGCCGAATGATCTCCGATTGACTTCAAACTTGCGCTATGCTTCAATTTACATGCTAGGACCTGAAATGTGACAAAGGAACACAACCTAGCATAAAATAGGCCAAAGAAGCGATAATTCAACCTTAAACGATCAAGAAACAAAGGGGAAAACATGTGCAAATATCGAGTCATCATAATTCCTCGTTGCTCCTTGGAAACCGGGGAGTCTCGGATTACTTTGAAAAACCATGAGAAATTTGGATGATTCCGCCACCCCAGGATATAAGTGTTTCTATAGGGATTTTTGTTCCTTGAATTAGCGATGAAGCTCACTTGTTCCTTGGGGGTGTTTGCTTCCTTCATCAATTGGCACCCCGAGATCTCATGGTTGGTACTCGAACACCAATCACACGCCATCAACGAATTCTTCCCTTGCTTCTTATCTTCAAGGAGGGCATCAATTTAATGGTTAAATTTAACGGAAAATGGAGGAATTGCTTCCACAAAATGTACTCCTCTCTCGGTATCCCTTCTACTGCTTCTTGTCAAGCCCCAATCGTACCCTTTTGTCGCCATATCTTCAAGCATTTTGGTCACCTAGGGTGGAGTCATGTTCATCAATTTCCCTTGACATAGAGAGTCAATGATGATCTTGTCATATTAGAGGAGACCACCATAGAAGGTCTCAATCTGAAACTGTTCTTCAAATCCATGATGTGGGCATTGGAGGAAGTAGTCAGAATTCCTCTCCCATGCATCCCTCATTGTCTCATCATCCCTTTGTTCGAAATGGTTGATCTTCTTGCGCATGTAACAACCTGAGTTCAGGTTTGATTTTGATTAAGGTTCGACCAGAAGAGATTTGGGAGACTGTTCAGTTTAAGCAAACATTGAAGAAGGAGGAACAGGCTAGAACACAGCCGGAAACACGACAATGTTGCTAGCTCGTGTTCGGTTAGATGTGCCATTTTGACGAAGCAGTAAATGAGACAGTGGAGGCTTGAACACGCTCAATGAACATGCCCGTGCCATTAGATCGTGTTCCTTTAAATGCACGTTTTAAAGATTGAGGATTGGTGGACGAGTCATTTTGGAAGAGTCGAAGATGAAACATAACACGGCCTGAGCACACCCATGTTGGTTGGCCGTGTCACTTGGGGTATCAGGACTGGCTGGAAACCATCAGTCCATTTCAAATGGACCTTAAGAACTCAATCTTTTGAGTGGAAAGGGGGCACTCTGAGCCTTCAGGGTCTCTCTAAGGATGGATAGTGTAAGATGCTTCCGGGGCACATTTTTTAGCAGCTTCTCAGGAAGCCTTATTCTCATTTGACAGGTGTTTTATTTGCCATTGAAGCTACTCCATCCCCTAGTCATACTCCATCCTTCTTGAAACCCTTACTATCCAGCTATTCAGATGTGTTTGATGCACCTCTTCTCTTCCTCCTACCCGCACCTTTGTTCATACTATCCCTCTTCTGCCTTCCACTAAACCCATCAATATCCGCCCCTATCGTTTCCCTCACCATCAGAAAGCTGTAGCGGAGAAGTTGGTGGTTGAAATGCTTCAATCTGATTTCATACAACCCAGTCATAGCCCCTATGCTTTGCTAGTCTTACTCATTGGCAAGAAGGACGGTACCTAGCGATTTTGTGTAGACTATAGGAAACTAAATGCAGCCACCATTAAAGAAAAGTTCCCCATTCCCCACATAGAAGATCTACTGGATGAACTACATGGGTCAATTATATTTCCAAAATTGGATCTAAGGGCAGGCTACTATCAAATTATAATGCATCCGGATGATCAGTTCAAAACGGTTTTCATGACTCATCAGGGCCACTATGAGTTCAGAGTGATGTCGTTTGGTTTGACAAACGCTCCTCCCACTTTCCAGGCTCTCATGAACCATGTGTTTGGCAAGTACTTGAGGCAGTTTATCGTTGTATTCTTTGATGACATTTTGGTATACAGCAAGACAGAAGAAGCTCCTCTGTAGCACTTGAGCATTGCGTTATAGCTGCTGCGGGACATTCAGCTATTTGCCAAAGAGTATAAATGTGCATTTGGACAACCAAAGTGAGTACCTGGGGCACATTATCAGCAGGGAGGGTGTAGTAAAGGATCCAAATAAAATTTCAGCAATGAAAACTTGGCCACGATCTCTGACTATTAAGCATTTAAGGGATTTCTTGGGGTTAACCGGCTATTACAAGAAATTCATTCGCAATTATGGAACCATCAGTAGGCCGTTGAGTGATCTGTTGCAGAAAATTGGATTTCAGTGGAATTCTACAGCAGAGACTCCTTTTGTTGTTCTAAAGCAGGCCATGTGTGAACCTCTTGTACTGGCTCTCCCAAATTTCAGTCTTCCTTTTACACTAGAGACTGATGCGTGTGGAAGAGGTGTGGGAGCTGTCTTGCCATCGGGAGGTCGACCCTTAGCATTCATCAGAAAATCCTTGTGTGTGCAAAATCAGGATTTGAGTATGTATGAGAAGGAGTACTTGGTTGTACTCATGGCAGTGGATCACTGGCGTCACTATCTGGAGGGACGACCTTTCACAGTCATCACTGACCATGAGAGCTTAAAATTTCTATTGAGCAGAAAGTTCATACAGCTATACAGAAGAAAGGATTGGTTAAACTCATGGGTTTGGATTTCCATATCAAGTATAGAAAGGGCAGATTTAATGGGGTTGTTGATGCTCTGTCAAGGGTATTTGAGGATAGTGTGGAAGAAGGCAATTGTAGTGCTCTTACTACTGTTTTAACAGAATGGCTGGTCGAGATAGAGGCAACTTATGCTAATGATCCTGCAGTAGCAGAACGGATTGCAGCTGTTGCTGCTGTTAATTCCCACGATCCTTTTTATTGTCCATTTCATTAGGCGTTGTACGTTATAAGGGGGCAATTGTAGTAGGGAAGACTGGTTCTATATGATCCAAATTGATTAACCCGTTCTACTCCTCCCCTGTTGGGGGCCACTCAGGTGCACATATTACTTACCGAAGACTCAAGACTCACTTCTATTGGAGGGGAATGAAGTCGGCAGTTGTATCTTGGGTCTCTCATTGTGATGTATGCCATTGCTGCAAAACTAAAACATTGGCTTCACCTGGATTACTTCAGCCACTACATGTCCCTACAAGAGCCTGACGCGATATAAGTATGGATTTCATTGAAGGCTTACCTATTTCCAGGGGTAAGAAGGTTATTTTGGTGGTATTTGATCGATTTACTAAAGTTGCCCATTTTTCAGTCTTAAACACCCATATTCAGCAGCAGAGGCATCACTGTATTCTCTGATGGAGTTTTCAAATATCATGGCATGCCCTCCACCATAGTCTCTAATAGGGATGCTACCTTCACTAGCCAGTTCTGGACTAAGTTTTTCATATTGTAGAACACAGACATTCACTACTCGACTGCCTATCACCCACAAACGGATGGTCAAACGAAGAGAGATAATTGATGTCTTGAAGACTATATTCGTTGCATGACTTTTTATAGGACACAAGATTGGGAGGATTGGTTGACATTGGTCGAGTGGTGCTACAACACTCACTACCACCTCAGTCTATAGATGACTCCATTCAAAGCCCTTTATGGTTTTCCCCCTTCCCACTTTGGCTTATCTCCTAATTCCACTACTCCAATAGGGCTATGGACGACAGGGTTAGGAGACAGCAGCAGCTGGTGCAGTTCCGTACTGAGAGTATCAGGACAGCTCAAAACCGGCAAAAGCAGTATGCTTATAGAAGATGAACTGAACGGATTTTGCAGGTTCAAGAATGGGTGTACTAGAGCCTCCAACCATATCGTCAAGGCTCAGTTGTGGGACGCCATGGAAACAAGTTGGATGCTCGATATTTTGGCCCTTATCAGATCGAGGCGAAGATCGGAGCAATGGCCTACAAGTTGGCTTTACCGGCTCACTCCAAGATTCACCCTGTCTTCCATGTTTCCCAATTGAAGCTGTGTAAGTCAACTATTCCACCTGCAACTGTGCATCTCCCTGCTCAAGACGACAATGGGTCTGTGAAGCTGGAACTAACACAAATTCTGGCGCGCATGTTCATTAACAAGAACAATTGGGCAGTGACACAAGTATTGGTGAGATGGGTCCATCAGGCTTCTGAGGATGCTACATGGGAGGATCTGTCCAGCTTCAAATGCCAGTTTCCCGCCTTTCCAGCTTGAGGACAAGCTGTCTTTGAAGGGAGAGGGTTTGTAACGGCCCAGCAGCCAACTGGCAGGGTGACGTGTACTAAGAGAAAACATTTATAAATAAATAGAGAGCTTTTACTATTGGTCAACTTTTACCCAATGATTCTTTTGTAAACTACTTTACCAATTAGTCTGCTAGCAAGAAAATAGCGTTTCGCCATCCTTATCTCTTTCCTTCTTCATTGCAAATTCCCCAATTCTCCAGAAACCTCCATTGACGATCCTTACAAGTCCATATATGGGGCGATCTGTTTAGTTTTTCGGCGGGGTCACTATTTCCGAAATCAAGAAGGCTTAATTTACTGCAAGCTCTTTGTCCCATTAATTTCCCCAATAGAAATCAAGAAGTTGCATTCCAAAGCTCCTACATTTTCATGCTCTCTGTGGAGAGACCTAGTCACTTGATTGGGGGAGCGGTGACCAGGGGCAGATGGAAGCCAGTCGAACAGGTTAAAGATGGTACGAAGTTAACTCACTTGTTTTTTGATGACGATCTTGTGCTCTTTGCACAGGCTTCCATTATCCAAACCACTGTGGTCCTGCAATGTTTGAATGAGTTTTGTGCGGCCTCAAGCGAAATGGTTAGAAAAGACAAGTCTCGGGTTTCTTTCTCCAAGAATGTCTCTCACAAAAAGGGAAATGAGATCAGTGACTGGCTAGGCATCCCTATGACACAGGACCTAAGAAGCTACCTAGGCGTCCCTGTCCTCCACGGTCGGGTCACCAAACTCACGTATAGGTATCTTATTGACGTGATTGATAAATGCCTCGCAGGTTGGAAAGCAGAGAACCTATCCTTGGCGGGGCATGTGACGTTGGCTCTTTCAATCCTCAATGCTATCCCAACGTACGCCATGCAAACTTCAGTGCCCCCGGCATCTACGAGTACCTGGACAGCCGCATCAGGAGCTTTGTTTGGGGTTCTCAACAAGGGCGGCGGAGGGTCCATCTCCTAAACTGGGAAACCATTTGTCATCCCAAAGATCAAGGGGGGATGGGACTCAGGAATGCTAGGGATCTCAACACGGCGTTTCTGGTAAAACTCGCGTGGACCATCTTCAAGATCCAGATGAGCTATGGGTAAAAATCCTAATCGATAAATATCTTAAGAAAGGAGCTGATAGCGTGCTACGTGTACGAAGGAAAACTAGGTGTTCAGTCCTATGGCATGGGATTCGGCGAGTTTGGAGCTGATGGATGGAGGTGTTCGCTGGAGTGTGAGGAATGGGAAAAGCACCTCATTTGGGTGTGGCAAATGGTTGGATAGTGGCGAGGTGTTGGCTAAGCATACCACCAACGATGGGCAAATTCCACTAGAAGCGACAATGGTTGGGATGATGACGGAGGAAGGTACGTGGGACATGCTACTCATTTGTAGATACTTACCTGAGGATCTTTTGCAGGTGGTGGGCATGCCTCCCCCACATCCTGGTGATGGCGAGATGGTGTGGGGCTTGGAGCCGAAGGGGCACTTCTCCCTGAAGTCAGCCTACGCGATGGGGGTGAGGGGTGGGTGGGTTACCGTCCGATCTATTCATGATTAAGATTTGGGTTAATACCTTAGTTTGGGCCGAACTATACATAAACTTTCTACTTTGGCACGTGGTTTCGGAAATTGCTCTTCTGGCCTGAACTATGTATCATACTTCCTTATTTGGCCCGAAGGCAGGTTTGATCGTTAAATTGGACGGTCAACTCAATGGCCAGCTCACTTGGCCACATCAGAGAGCGGAAAATAAAATATTAATTTTTTTTAATTTCTAAATTTTTATAAGAAAGGAAATAAAAAAAATTATGTTTATTATTATTATAAGAAAGGGAAAAATACATAAATTCAAAAAATAAATTTTTTTATTATCTGCTCGCTGACGTGGCCAAGTGAGCTGACCATTGACTAACGGTCAACTCTGTTGACCATTCAATTTAACGGTCAGACCTGCCTTCGGGCCAAATAAGGAAATATGGTACATAGTTCAAGCCAGAAGAGCAATTTTCGAAACCACAGGCCAAAATAGGTTTGTGTATAATTCATGCCAAATTAAGGTATTAACCCTTAAGATTTAGAGGTGATTGCACCCTTTTTTATCAAAAAAATCTTACAACTTTACCATTTAAGATGAAAAAAGGGTTTTCTTAAAGTTATACCCTTTAACAATGAAATCTAATGTTACATTCACTGCTCAATTATTAAATACACTATACACCATCTCAACAACTACCTCTATTAATAATACAAACTTAAAACTACTCACTATTTCATGAACTTTAGGGGTCGTTTGTTTGATGGATTTGGGTCATGGATTTGGGAGTCAAATCCCAAGCATGATGGATTTTAGCCAAGTCCATTGTTTGTTGTCGGGTGTTAAATCCGTGGGGTTCATGGATTTATTCCCTTTTTTGGATCCAAATCCTCACAGACTTGTAAATCCCACATATTGGGGTGGGATTTGTAAATCCTGGATCCCTTTGCTTCCTCATCTCCATATTTACAGGACTCGGCATACAACTACTCCTTTGCTTGGCTATTGATCCCAATTCCTACCATCGATCTCCATCAGGTTCTCATCTGCAATAATACGCATCATCAATACACACTAAGAAGGAAGAAACACGCGTGTGGGAGATTGACAATGATGGGTTCAGAAGAGGGGTCCATAAGTGTTTACTGCCTTAGAATTGGTCCTTCCTTTCATTGTCTTCGTTGCCGCTTCAGAAAATGCTACTGCCTTCTCTGCACGAGCTTCGGCGGCCTCAGCGTCTCTTACTGCCTCTTCTGCTTCTGCCATGGCAGCCTCTGCCTCCGAAACTAATTGATCAGCCACAGCTGCTGCCTCTCTTGCACTCATTTTTCTCATCCTAGATAGCTCACAGTCAACCTGTGGTTTTCTAGCCACGTTAAAATCCTCCAGTCGCTCAGCTCTTCGAAATAACCTATCTCTTCCTTCCAGCAGAAACATGGACACACTCCTGTTGGAAAATGAAGCTGGTGCTTCCCTGTACTTGCGTTTGACCTGCAGTACAAACAATGAAGAATCAAAATTAAAAGAACCAGAAAATAAGGTGGCATTTAATTTTCTGCCAGATTTTTTCCCCAACTAATTTGACAGCAGTATGACACAACTGCACAAGTTATACAGCCAAAAAGACTGGTCTCCTGCCATCAACCATTCTCGATCCTTCTGGAATGCAGGAAAAAAGGAGGAACATGCTAGCTATCAAAACAGGGAATCAAACATTACATGGCTGGAAATGCAAACCACAGCTCTAAATTGGAGGGCTCTGAACTCTTAGGGAAGAAATCAAAAACAAATTTCCGCATATCCATACATAGAGGTGGCAAATGGATTGGATTGGTGGATTGATGGATTGGATTGGTGGATCCATGGATCAAATGGATTGGATCTAATGGATTGGTGGATTCATGGATTGGATCAAGTGGATTGGTGGATTATCCATGAATCCAAATGACATCCTCAACCAAGGATCAATATGTAAAATGTAAAAAGTTTAGGTACTAAAATGTCATAATGAAAAATTTTAGGTACCAAAACGTAATTTTCCAATGGTATTTTTCGTATAAAAAATTAAATTTTAGGTACCAAAATGTAAAAAATAAAAATTATAGGTACTAAACCGTAATTTGCCAATGATCCATGGATCCAATCCATGAATCCACCAATCCAATTGGATTTGGATTAAATGGATTGGATTTAAATGGATTGGATTAGGTGGATATTTTTAATGGATTGATGGATTGGATTGGTGGATTGGGTTGAAATTGCCACCTCTATCCATACAGATATACCTTACCGCCAAACCCACAAACAGACTCTTAAGAATGAACTGACTGAATTGCTTTCTTCATCAATATGAAGTAGAACCAATGTTTATGCGGCCAAAACATGAATGATGGCAATCTACCCTGCCAGCTAAAATTTTATTCAGGTATGTAAGTAAGAAAGAATTGCATTTATTATACTAACCAATGTGATCAAATAATTACCTTGATCAGTTTGCCAGACGAAGTCAAATGCTTCAATTTTGCTGACAATATCCTCTTAAAATCTTGAGGTGGCCAATATTGCTCCTACATAAATCAACAAGGACTATCAAATTTGGAATATCAATATCAGCTGCATCCTCATAAGAAAGATCAAGGTTTTATTAGTTTTATAAAATCTTATAAGCGAATGTGTGGTAATATCATTCAAACTGAATATTAAGAGGCCACCCATGCTTAGCAACAAACCATGGAACGAATAAGACCACTCTGATTATACTAATAGATTTTAAAAGGGAAAACATATGACGAAGTCAGAGCTCTAAAAGTTAGAAACCGCACCAAGGAAGACCAGATTCAACCGCACGGTAACTGAAGTAAACACAAAACCCGTGGATGTAAAGTCAATCCAGTGCAACTAATTATTCCAGCCAGTAACACCAGCATTTGACTTCTCTCAGCATATTTACCTTTATGTATGAAGCAATCGCTGTCTTATGTGAACCAGCAGGCTCCTTCAAGGTGGCAATAGCCTCCAGAATTAGATTACCCAGCCTAGAACAATGAAACAAACCTTCTTAAATAAACATTTGAAGGGAAATTCTGTACTGAATAACTAAAATGAACCCTAAGATAAAGTAACCACTTTGCTCAAGTATGCATCAGATTCAAGCAGTATTTTGAGGCTTGACATGTTCCATAGAAAAAGTTCTAGTTCAAGGTGAGAACATCTTGTTATACTGGTTTGTTTCTTTTTCTTTTTCTTTTTGCTTGTCAACTCAGTATTGGACCTCGTGCTAACTTTTGTAGCGCTCTTCCGTTTCAAACCACTGTGTTACGGGGGAAAAAACCCCATTGTGATACCATGACCATAGTGAACTTAATGGCGTAGGCTTCAGAGGAAACTTGATGTGAACTGAATGGTCCTCATTCAGATGATCTCATCTTCAATTTCTCACCAGAATATTCTGATTTTGCAAGGGCCCTGCTATATACAAACAGTTAAAGCCTTCAACTTCTGGTTTCTTCCTGATCAGCTAACTTTCTTCTTACATCAGTCAATCACCAACTGATATCCCCACTTGACCACAATCCTGCCTACTGTTACTGAAATGTCCAACTAGCTAATGCTGCAGATTATGGGCAGTATTCCTTCCAAAAAAGAAATTTTCACTGATACATGTCAAATCATATTCATATGCATGTCAAATTTGTTTCACTGATGCATGTCAAATCAATACAGTCTCCTAACCAATAACATAGTGAACAAAATTGCAACTCATCAGTTTGAATCCAAGCCAGTTATTCTAGTACAGGCATTCAACTTTGCAGCCAAGATCACCAATAATCAGAGCAAGAACGTGAACCTGCCCTACAACAATGGAATCGGTTGTGGTCTCTGACAGTGATTCCTCGTATGTATACAACTGAAGCAATCTTGATCACAGAATGGCAATCATGACAAATACGCAGATTTTTTTATATATAAAAGGCTGTACCATGTCTCATGCTTCTAAGCCCAAAACAAAAGGCAAGCTTCTTATTGTGTGATAGAAATTCCTGCTCCATCTCCTCCATCTCACCATTATACCGGCCATCAGCTACTTCGAAAACATGGGAGGAGTATGTGGAACATAACCAGCTAGCCTCATCCTCATTATCATATCATCTAGGGTATGATAGATCTCTAGAGTTGGAGGGTGAGACTTATCACCAATAGTAAACTGATGAACATGGCCTCCTATATGAATAGAACTCATTCCAGGGACCTTACTAATCCCCCTACCAGAGAGGGCATACGATAGGGAGTTTGCCTGCTTCCGGTGAAATCATCAGTATTAGCTTCTTGAAACATCTCAGTGAACATATGAAACATAGCTTTGCCCTTTGTCTGCATGGCTGGCCCACCAAGCATAGCATTCCATATCACCATGTTCCTCCTTGCCAAATACTCTAACTGCCATATTTATTCGACCACATTTGGCATATATATGTCAACCAGAGCTGTCCCAACCATGATGTCCAGCCCACTGCCTTCAAAGCAAAACCATGAACCAGCCTCCCAATGGCTACATCACCAGATTGTGCAGCATCTGATAAATAGAACATAGGGAAACGTGATTCAACCTGGGGCCTGACTGCAAAACCTTTTCATTCAAAAGCAAACAACCTTCCTTGATCAATCCACTCCCAGCATAACCAGCAATCATTAATGTTCATCCAAGCTGGGTCCTCTCAGGCATTTTATCAAACAATTCCCTGCCTTTCTCCAGCCCATCCAACTTAACCACACCTTCCAAAAGTATACTCCACGACAGAACATTAGGCTCATTCATTTCACAAAAAATACCTCTTGCTTTGGATGGTGGCCCACATTTCACATACATATTCATGATTGCGTTGAAGGCCTTAAGACTATACTTGAAACCCATCTTCCTCACACATCCATGCAGTTGAGCTCCCATCTCCAAATTTCCCACTTTAGCCACAAACCGAGTACGGAAAGCAGCATAACATCAGCAACAAGAATACCCCTTTATCCTCAATTCATTGAACAACCAATAATCTTCATACGAGCATTCTTAAATTTGGAAAGATAATTCAAGAAAGAGGTCCAATCTGCTGTGTCTTAGCGTGAGTGGGGGATATGCAGGGACAAGTGGCAGGCAAAGATGACAACTTCACAAGATGAATAGAGGTTAAGGACGTTCGGAAGGAAGGAATTGCATGATTCTGGTAGGCTGCCAATGATTATGATGGCATGGAGTTGCTTCCCAGCAGAGAAAAAGACTGGTATGCCCATGAACGAAGAAAATAATGTAGCTGGCTGGGGAGAAAGAGCTGAATGAGGCATTTCATAGCAAGGGATCGACCGACCGAAAATGGAACTTCTGATGAGAGATTACCGTTCCAAAAGCCCGAACCCAAAAGCAACAACCCCCATTATTAATTTGATTTCTGTTACACCAGATAAGCAAATTGTACTTTGATTTCTATGTTTAATCACCAGGAAACATTCTAATGTGATTACTTCTATATTTCTAGAGGTCTTGCAATGTTCCATAACTGTTGCAAAAGGTTTTACATAAGCAATTCAGGAAAGACTGTATTAATTGTAAGAATTGTGCCATAAAAAATCAACTCACCTTATGGTAGATCTGTTTTGAGAAGGAATAGGCATCAGAGGAACTTCATGAGCCTTGACATCCACAGCAGCGTCATCACTTTTGACATCATTATCAGCAGGCAAAGGACTCTCTTCGAGTTTCGGAACATGGTGCACCCGCTTGACAGCTAACTTGGACTTCTCCCTAGAGCTCCATCCATTTGCCATAACACTCATGTTTCGCCATTTGTCCTGGCCAATCACGAAAGAAATTCAAAGAAACATGAAAAAACCCAGACTGTACTTCTATAAATGTTAACATAGGACATTTGAAACAAAACCCTAGACATTAGTCACTCAATTCAATATAGAATTTTTTTACCCCAATACACTAGCAGAAAACTGCTGCTAACCTTGAGGTCCACATTCGATCGGAGGTATAAGACACCACTATATTCAGGATCCTTAAGTATTGTCCTCCATTTTCCAGCACCATGCTTGATAACTCCGGCTTTCAAGGCTGCTTCTTCATCTGCTGTCCACTTTTGTTTGGGCGCACCCATAAGGTATTACAACAAAGCTCCAGTGGATCTACACTACAGCCATCCAATATATGGAGAAGCAACACTGGTAACACGATCTCCTAATAAATGAATGTGTCATTGGATGTGTTTGGGAGGGTAAAACGTGCAATTACATGCAATTGAGCAAATATATCGTTTCTTTAACAGTTTAGATGCAAATGAGCACATTTGAAATTTTGCATGCAATCTTAAATACTCAGGGTGGGAAGTTTTTGACAAAAGCACTCAAGTAAAGTTGGTCCCATATTATCCATCACAATTTTCTTGCAGAAACGCAGTAGATAAAAAAAAATGCAATTGAAGCAAAACAGACGCACCAAAATGTAATTATTTGAGAAAGAAATGAAATTGAAGAATATGACATCAACCTACAAATCACGCCAAACTCACCCAAATATACAACAATTAGGAAGTCTAGGACTAGGAGTAATGGCCTAAATAGATAGCAACCCACACGAAAACAGTTTGCTACAGAAACTGGCAAGTGTAACTATTACTACAGCTCTCTTGACATCTCACAATCAGAATCACGCCCGGCAGAGAAAACTTTACAGAAAGAACTCCCTAGGCAGAAAAATTAACGAGAAAATCCAGTTCCATGAATTAAATAATGAATCCAACCCATACCCATAGCTAGAATTTAGAAGCCATAAGAGCATTACCGTCAAAGCTGCAATTCTTCAGGAAAGACACAACTGGCATACGCGAAACAACGGATCTTGAACGTTGTCGTCGATACGAAAGCCTAGAGAAGATTTGGAGGTGGTTGGCGACGAAAGATGAGCCGCTTTTGCTTGTGCTTATTCTATTGCTGCTGCGCAGAAGGAACTCAGGGGACGATGTAGAGGGTAGATTGATATTGGCGTTCCGTCTGATTTCATGACATGGGAAATTGAGAATGCAGTTTTCACTAAAATCTGAAAACTGAAACCCTAACAAGACACCAGAAAACCCTAATTACTTCCCCAATTTCCTCGACTTCTTTTCTTTTTTTTTATTTAACAATAGATGAATTTTTATGTGGTGCGTGATTTAAACCATTTGAATATTGATTACTTACTATTAGTTTATGAATTTTCACTGTACATGTTATTTTGGAGTAATATTACATGTTGTTATTAATATGTTAAATGGAATTTGATATAATTTATAAATGTAGAAACTATATAATAATGTGTTATGTATGCGGGCTAAATCGAGTTAAGGGAAAAATAATTATTAAAAATAACTGATCCTCTTTCTCTCTCTTCTCTCTCGTTCTCAAGGTTGTCAACCCGCGGGCTGACCCGGACCTAGTCGAGCTAGTTGGTCAAGGGTTAATGGGTCAACCGTTTTAGCCCAGTTTGGCCCGAAAATATGAAAAGAGTTATTATATTGTACTTATCCTGATAAATTATATCAAATTTTATCTAACATATGAGTTATAACATATAATATTACACCAAAATAACATATCATACTTAGATCCAACATATAGTGAAAATTCACACACACTTATATAACATCAATGTTCAAATGTTCAACTAAGGATTCCAAAGATTGAGTTAGGCGATAAGAAAAATAGGAAAATAGGTGTATTTCGCAAACCAAAGAAAAAAATGACACAATTTGACCTCCAACCCGGTATCTTGTAGCGGTCGACCCGGCGAGTGCGTACGACCCTTTTTTCTCACCGGGTCAGGGTTAAATTGGGTCGACCCGCGGGTTGACAACCTCGCTCGTTCTGTTTGGCGTTTCCCCTTCGATGGCGGCTTCGCCGTCGGCTGAGGCCCCAGCGAGGAGGCTCCTCCGGTGAGCAACACTTGGGCTTCGCTTTTCTCGGTTGATCCGGCGAATAGGATGAAGTTCCGCTCTCCTGAGCGGAAGAATGATGGTTTTCGGCTTCCGCAAGAGGTTAAACAAAGAGGAGAAGAACGATGGAAGGATAGCCTTATTGCTCAATTTATGGGTGCCCCGCCGAAGCCAGTGGCGCTTCAACAGTGGGCTACTAGTCTCTAGGGGAGGCTAAGCCAGTTTGAGTCTCCAAATTCAGTCCTCATCTGATGGTTTTCCAATTTCCCTCGGCATCCACAAGTCGGTGGGTTTTTCGATCAGGACCTTGGCATTTCCAAGGAAATCATGTGTTCTTTAGGAAGTGGTCGCCGGGTATTCAGCCAGTTCAGCCGGAGATAGAGACTCTTCCGATTTAGGTAAAGATCTGGGGGATTCCCCTTGAATATCATTCGTTTGAAGGGCATGAGTGGATTGCTAGTACGATTGGTTGGCCGTTGTGGATGGATCAATCGACTCGGCTGGGAGGGCAGTTAGGGTTTGCAAAGGTGTGTCTGGACCTAGCTGCGGGCTGTGGGTTTCCAGAGAGGGTGAAGCTTTACCCTAATGAGGATCCATCGTTCGAAGTGGAGGTTGAATATCTGAACAAACCAATAGTATGTACGCGTTGTGAGATCTATGGCCATGACTGTGATTGGCGCAGTAAGCAAGGAAAGAAATGGGTGCCTAAGAGGAAGGTTGAGGAAGAAGTGGCGGTTGAGGAAGAGGTGAGTCTTGAGGAAGCTGTATCCAGGTTTAAGGATGTTTATACCCATGAGGGTAATCAGCCTGATCACTCTAAGAGTCCTGGGAATGTCTCAAGCTCGACAGGTGCTCAGGGAATCTCTCTCTCTCTCCACATCAAATGGGAGCTCAGCAATGAGTTTCTTGGAAGCGATGAAAGGGTCATCAGAGGTTCCTGGGAGCTCTCAAACCATTCCGCAATTGTCTGTTTTAGTTAGCTCACCAGATTCCTCTAGGAGGTTAACTCAGCAATCAACTCCTGTTGGGAAAGAGAACAATCCGTGGATTACAGTAAGAGTCAGAGGTCAAAGAAAAACCTGCTCCACCACTTGTTCCCCCTGCTAAGAGGGGGGGGGGGGAAGGAGGGAAGAAGCGATGAAGATTTTGGTTTGGAATACACGAGGTTTTAAAGATAGTAGTAAGAATAAAGTTGTACAGCTTATAGTAAATAGGAAACAAATAGATATAGTTGCTATTTTAGAGCCAAGAATAAAAGAGCAAGAGTCAGACGATATAATTCACAAGCGATTCCCAGTGTGGGAGAGTGAGGTGGCAAATAGTGCAGCAGTTTTGGGAAAGTTTGGCTTCTGTGGAGGCAGGATGTCAAGCTTACTATCCTTGATGAGTCAGATCAGTTCATCCATGTGCTAGTAAGCTCAGGTGTCCCTTTCTTTGGTACCTTTGTCTATGCATCTAATGAAGAGGTAGATCGTAGGAGATTGTATGGGGACCTATCAAGACTAAAAGTATCTCAGTTACCATGGTCGATTATAGGTGATTTTAATGCTATAAATGACCCTAGTGAGGCATCCAACAACCCTGCTTTTAATAGTAGTATGGAGGATTTCAGAAACTGGCAAGATCAGTCTGAGCTTATAGAACACAAATCATCAGGTCCTTGGTTTACTTGGATAAACAAGCAGTCACAAAAACCTATTGCACGAAGACTTGATAGGGTGTTTGTCAAGCTTGAATGGTTAGTGAGACTTCCTATTAGTGCAGCTGAGTTGCTTGAACCTTCTGTCTCAGATCATTGTCCAATTTATTTGAATACTGATAGCTCTCTCAAGTCTCTGCCCAAACTGTTCAGATTCTTCAAATTTTGGGTTAATCATCCGTCTTTCTTTGACATTGTGAAAGAAGCATGGCACTCTGAGGTCTCGGGATCTCCCATGTCTAGGATATGTAAGAAGTTGAGGATCCTTAAGAAGCTTCTTAAGACACTAAATAAGGAAGTCTACTCTGATATAAGAGAGCGTGTGAAGATGAAAGAGTCTTAATTGATGTATGCTCGGATGGATGCTCTCTCTAATCCTTCAAGTGAGACATTTGAGGTTGAGATGGTAAAGGGTAAAGAACTCAGGCAGTTAAGACTTGATGAAGAATCTTTCTTGAGACAGAAGTCAAGAGAGATTTTGATTAAAGAAGGTGATTCTAACTCCCCTTTCTTTCATCGTTCAGTTAAAGTTCGATAGCAGAGGAATACTATTAGATCATTATTGAATGAAGCTGGTGAGAGAGTTAATGATACTGACTCAATGTGTAAGATAGCAGTGGCCTTCTATGAAAACCTTCTAGGGACAAAAGATGAGTTAGTTCAAAGTAAACCTGTGGAATTTTTCAAGAAGTTATTGAAGAGGAAACTTCAATGCTCTCGGACTGAGGAGTTGTGCAAACCTGTAACGGCAGAGGAGATAAAAAGTGTTATGTTTGCTTTCAAAGGGGAGAAAAGCCCTGGCCCTGATGGCTTCTTAGCCTGTTTCTTTCATATGGCGTGGCATATTGTTGGGGAGGAAGTGGTGGAGGCAATCCAGCACTGTTTTACTCATACATCTGTAACATCCCAAACTTTGGGTAACTTGAAAACCATTTCGGTTTGATGGAGAAAAGGAGGAAGTTCAACCATTATGGAAAAGATTCTGAGTTTCAACTTGAACAAAGAATCACGACTTTTATCAATTGGATACGAAATAATATTGGTAAATAAATTCAACATGAATTAATAATGATAGATGACGAAGATACGAACGCGTAGACAGAAACGGTGATTAATTCCGATGTCAAACGAAGGAGTTACGACCAAAAAGATAATACGTATTATGAGGTGGCACAAGAGTAACCCAAAAATATTTATTGAGGTGCAAGAGGTTCGAAGCGCTGACCTCTATTCACCAACAGAAGAATTTTACCATCAGACTGCTTGATATAATGATAAAAGAAAAGCGTGCAACATTTATTAATATTGTCTAGGTGAGTCTCCCTTCCATATTGCATGCATTCCAATAGATGCGAGCTGTAATGGCTAGGTGCATTATTTTCCCGACAACTTCTTGTACTGGGATAAGGACGGGCCACTGATCTTCTTATCGGTAAGATGATGAGAAAGCATCTGTCTCTTTATTAAATGTAGAATATAGTTGAGTTCCCTCTATTTCTCATTTTTCGCAACCGAGAGAAAGAAGGAGAAAGAAAAGAGGAAGAAACCACTCTTCTGTGGTATGGGTTAGAGTAATATGGAGGTCCCAAAGCCATCTATGAAGTCAGAATTTCCATTGGATGTGGTTAGAAGTCTCGTCGGAGCTTCGCCGGAGTTTCGTCGGATGGTCGTCGGAAAAACCAGAAAATGAACTTCAACCATACTTCTAAAGGTGTGTATGGTTGTGAAGAGGGAGACCCCAGGAGCGTGCACGTTTCGACGAAATTGAGTTTCGACGTCGGACGAGGGAGAAACGAGTATCGGAAGTTTGGCACAAAAATTGTTTAGTCTAGGTACCATTTCTGATAAATCGAAAGGTTAAAGGACCTTTCTGTAATTTTCCTACAGAGACGGGTCAACACATTTCAGTTGACTGGTAAACTTTGTATTTAGTCCCTGTTACTTTGAGTACTAACGGAATTCGTATTTCGTTCATAATTCGTTCGTTTGACGTTCAAACAACAAACCGTCTTCACCTACAGGATCGTGAGAACGAGGAGAATATTTTGAAACCAAGATTTGGAATTTTCAGAGATGAAACAGAATCAGTTTCATCATAAATAAGGTGTGTGGGCTTACGGTAAAAGGGAACAACGAAATTACGTGTTTATTTTTAAATACGCATGATTGAGTTGATGATTACTGATTATGATGGATTTGTGATTGATTCATGATTGTGATGAAATTGTTGATGAAATTAACTGATTTTTATGATAATAATTATTATTAATCTCGTATTGGAATTGTTGATGTATATGGTGAACTCTAAATATGTTCTGAAAATTATTTGAGATCATAATAAGGAAAGGAAATTTAAGGAATCTTGAGATGGCATTAGTCATGATATATTACCATGACAATGATTATATTGGTAATAATTGAGTTTCGGAATTAATTGAAGTTATGACGTTAAAAGGGTGAAATTGGGAATTAATAAATTGGATGAGTATATGAGAAGTGAATTCTGGTTAGAATAATTAAAATAAAGAATTTATGAACTTTGTTGGATTTTTAGATGGACGAAACCGGTTTCTATGTCGTTTTGTTATTAAAGAGATTATATTACGATTTTTAGAATAATGGCGATTTAAGGGAAAATTATTATAAGCTGAGTATGATGGTTAAATGATTACCACGAATATTGTAATTAAGATTGAAGTTAAGTTACGTTTTAAGAAAAAAATTAGTAATAGTTAATTGAGTATTTAATTGAAATATTGAAGATAATCTTATTAATGTATTTTGAAGAACGATGATGTAGATTGTATTTTAAGAAATAATTATTGAGAGATATGTTATTAAGGGAGACCTTTTCAAATGAACTTTTGATAATCATGAGAATTATATATTGGGTATGGTCCTTTTTAGAATGGTTTCAAGTTATTAATATAAATTCATGAAAACAAGATTTTGATCTTAATATGTTTAGTTGATATGTTGATGAAATTAGTTAATGGACGATATGGATAATTTGATGTATTTTTATTGTCATTATATGGTTCGTATGATAAAATGATTTGATGACGAATAAAATATATATTGATTATTGATATATATGATTATGGCATGATGATGATGACAGGGATATTGAGTGATAGTGATACGATTGACGTGTATGAGTATGACGTGATTAGAATATCGATTGGTATAAATGTGATTAGTAAATAACTAAATATAAATATTACTGAGATATTTTGTGACAATGTGGATATGATGAATGCTTTAATTAATGATGATGTGGATGAGATATTATCATGATCGATTTGTATTTGATGTTCTAAATGATTACGATGAGTGAATGAGGTATTGATAAATTGAGTACTTGGTAGATTTGTCAAGTTTGATTGAAGAGAATGAATTATTTATATCATTGAGAAGATGATGATTATATTGAGATCGTGCAATGCATCAAAGCATGCATAGATGATGTGAGATATGCATAGACTGGGAATATCAATGGGACGCTGTTGATTTCTTGGATCGATTGAGATATGATGGAAGAGAGAAATTGATATTGTTTGATCATGTTAAATCACATAGACATAGAAGGGCATATGCCTACCCCTATGAGATTGATTGGGTTGCGGTCCTAATGAAAGGATTTATGATAATCCTAGATTTGATGACATTGTGGTTTTCGTTATAACCACTAAGATGATGAGCTCGAGCGGGGTGGGCGTATGGTGACCTTAGCGCGCAAATTAATAATAAATGAAGAGTCTGCATTTCATGCATTGCATATGATATATATGATGGTGATGATTTCCATGAAGGAAATCATAAAATGATATTTAATTGATGATTGATTGAGAGATTGATATGGTTCCTCCGAAATGGTGATTTGATTATGGACGAATGATTGACATGCTTGATGATTAAATGATGAGTTGACTTTGAATGAACAGTTGATATGATGGATTCATGAGTTGAGGTAAGGTTATGATTTTATGTCGATATATGACTTGATTAATGAAAATCATGTCATGAGGAATTGGGTTAAGATGAATTTGAATTGATGACCTAGAAATAAATCTAGGCATTAATGAGATTTTTGTGTGGCATGATAATTTGTTGATGATGTGTTTTTAATCAACAAGATGTGATGATGTGATGGCATGCTAACAATAGTTTTGCCGTATAGGCCAGGTCCACACACTCAGCTTAGTAGCTGACCCATTTTTCTTTCTAGATGTGATAGGTGTGGTAAATTGAGGATGACTTTGGCATTGCACAATGATCGATGGAGGATTTTGGTTTAAAAGGTTTTTCACATATTGATGTACTCCGAAATCAATATTTTTACGATTCGGGTTTTGAGCATGCATGATAGTTTACGTTAGTCAAATATGATCATTAACTTGAGTTGAGCATGAACGGAGTAGACGAGATTGATAGTTTGGGTTTGGTGAATCCTGAATTTGACGAAGATGGATTAAT